TGGTGGCTTGTTTTCGTATGTTCCATTTGCGGATTTCTGATTTACAGCGGTTCCGTATTTTACGAAATGCCAGCTCATCTTCTGTATCCCCTGTAGTCATTTTTTAAAAAAGAGCTGAGACCTTTTTTCCAGAAGTCGCCGAATACTTTTTGGCATCCTGCGGTTCGTCCGACTGCGTGCTGGTTTTTTTGGGACGGACGTCGCGTCAGTCTCGTGAACTTTCTGAACAATGCTGCTATACAGTTCTTCCACTGGAGCTGGTTCCAGTGTGACTTGTTCAAGAAGGATGCGCATTCCTGAGAAGTCTGCACGGCAGAAGTATCGAAACCACGATGGAGGTTCGGGATTTCTGGCCCAATAGCAGATGAACTCAAAGGTCGACACGCAGTGGTCGCTATGTCCCAGTGGAGCGTTAACTGTTACCTGATCAACGAAGTGCCCTTCGTTGGTGATGACCAAATCCAGGATGGATGGTAGTTGGCCTGCCCGGTATTTGGTGGGTGCAACGACATGTTGAGTCCAGGCGCTCTGTTGCGCCGTTGCAAAACGTCCGCCCGATTCGACGCGCTGGAGTTCCATCCAGGAGGCCTTTTCGGTGTTGAAGTCACCTACCAGCAGGAGATGAGCGAAGTGGTAGTTGGAGGAGAGTTGCTCAAGGGTTTGTATGAGGAATTAGTCATCTTCAGGGGGCCTCGAGGGGCCCACGCCGAGAAGGAGAGAATCGGACCCGCGCAGCGGGATTTGGACAGTCAGTGCATCGCAAAAGGGTGCGGGGTGGTATTAGAGAAGACAATCGGGATTGGTAGGGCCGCCTGTAAGTACAGAGCAACCCCACCTACTCGCCCTCGTTTTGAGTCGGCTCGAAAAATAGAGTAACCACCTATCGAGATCTCCGCGTCAGAGACATCTGGTGTGAGCCTAGTCTTTGTGGGGGCGCTTATGGACGGTTGTCTAAGGCAAGTTGACTGTTTAACATCGCCGGGTTGGTTGAAAAGGCTGAAGCAGTTTGTGGACGAGCATTTCAACAACGTCTCTCCTGCTTCCGAGGGTGAGGAGCCGATAGTTGAGTGACCAGGGTGGTCATCCGACTTAATATTTGTGCGCCGGGTTTGAGTCCAAGGCTCCGAAGTGGCCTCTGGGGCGATGTCATCTGCTTCCTGTCTTCGTGGTTTTTGAGGGTGCTTTTCGTTTGCGAGGTTGTTTTCGTTCCGTGGGACCCCGGTTTGCTCGGGACTTTTGGCTTTGAGGGATGAGGTCTTTTTCCTCGTGGGCGAAAATTTCGACCATTGCTGTTTGTAGCTCTTTCAGCACCCCCATTTGTGCGAACAGATGTCCTGTTGATCGAAGATTTGCGGCAAGCTTTCGCCTTCCTGGATTCTTAGGTATTTTGGCGCGGTTTGGCCGGGAAAGTGTCTCTGTGTGGCCCTGGGCGCCGGGTGGCGGCACCAAGAAATAATGATTTTGGTGGCGCTCCCAAGAGGCTCACTTTCGCTAGGGACTGCACTTTGCAGCCAGCTAGCAGTTTTCTAATCTGGCGATTTTTATGTGGTTTGTTTGGCTGCAGTCGCTCTTCTTTCGTGTTTGTCTGAACACCCGATCCGCCAGCGATCAGCGTGGCCAACTGGATGTACGAGGGATTCTCCGGATGACTGTAGTCATGTTTATGGCTTAGGTTGTCAAGGTCCTGGGCGACGGTTGTGTCCACAAACAGAGAGGTCGCTTTTGACGGAGTGGAGCTGAAGATTGGCTTCGCTGTTCGTCCCGCGCATCTGACTCAGTACAGTTCAATACTGTGGCTTTGTTTAGGATTGCGTGGCTGCAGCTGTTACGGAGATAAGCGTTGATAGCTCCACGTACTTCGGGCGCTGCTTGCATGTGAGGTTTGCCTCCTCCAGGACATCACCGCTTTTGGTGGGCGAGAGGCCTGTGGTGGTCGAATAAAAACTGCTGTCTGGAGACGCAGCTGGTTTCGTCGGCGTGCTTTCTGAAGCACAAGGGGATATGACCACAATCGGCTTGGTCATGAGTTCGCGGTCGGCTGGGTTTGTGCCCAGCGGAAGCCTGTTTCGTTACTCCACCCCTGACCTCTTGTGACCGAGCTGTCGCACGGCTAGAGGGCGACCCTCAGATAGACGCCTGACCATTGGGTTGGCCTTCTGAATGCTGCCAGCCCGCTCCAAGATATTCTGTACGTCAGATGGGGAAGAAAGAGTGACGAGAATTCCAAGCGTTCGCTTGCTTCCCTCCTGGCGTAACCATTCTGCATGGAGCGATTGGTCGGGCTTGGTGAGGACATTCCTAAGGATTGTTTGTGCCAGCTTCACTGTCGTGGTTTTTCCGGAAAATGAACCCCAGATTATCAGTCTTCTTCTCCTCAGGCGCCTGTCCACTACAGACGCTGTCGCGGTCTTTATAGTCGCTTCAGAGAGTTGCATTACTTTCTTCGCATCCAAAGGGCCCGGTATGGAAATCGCGAGGTATCGGTCCAGCGAAGAAAGCTCCTTGTCAACTTTCGTCCCGGTCGAGGCATTCTTAGCGCCTGAGTCCTCCAGTGCCTTTGAAAGACGCTCTAATTTTGCGTCGAGTATCCCGATTAAAGCGGAACACTGGCAGTGGTCTTTCGGCATCTGCACTGGGGATTGGGCACCGTTTTGGGGGGCTCTCCTCTTCGCTGCGGTATGCATTGCACCCTTGACGTAGAGGTAGATGGCGCAGACAAACGTGTCAGGAGAGTTAGCTAGTCGGCTTATCTGGTCGTCCTGTAAACTCGCGCATTTGAAATGCCACCAGGCCTTGCGTGTGTGGCATTCCATCCCGTGTACGACGTTCGACGGGCAGTCATTTCGCCAAAATCTGTTGTGGTCTATCAAAGGCTGCAGAGGGCAATCGGTATAAATTGATGAGCTCTCGGTGCGATTGTGAGCTCAGCTCATGGGCACACAATAGGATCATGGACTTTACTTGTGCACCCACCCTCCAATCGTCGTCAGAAGCAGACACACGGACTCGGCTACCAAACGGAATGGGAAGGGATGTTGAATATAAGCTGAACGACCTGTGTAAGGTCTGTGCCACACCGACATTGAGCACAACGTGATTACGATTGCGTCGCTCTCTATTGAAAGCTGGTGCATCCTAGCATTCAGCTTCGCCATCTCAAAGAACCCTGTGGCCAATCCGAGTGAGAAAAATTGCAAATCTCCCGCAAGCTCACTTGTCACCATGTACGGTCACCATGTGCTACTAAGGATCAACCTCGGTGCCATACAAGCAGGAACCTAACAAGATTCGGCGACTCGACGAACTCGGTGATGGTGATATTAGGACCTCTTTTTGCTTGAGGTTAACACCACCCTGGTTCGTTTGCAGCTTTGTGCGGGTTCCATTATATTCTGCCACCTGGATGGACGAAACTGTATACGCCACGCAAAGCTAGCTTGATATCAGGCACGCAGTGCTCCTAAATAGTAGGTCGAAGATGGCGTTGTGCGAATGCTAACCTCCAATGACCCGACGGTTTAAGATACATGATACTTGAGTCCTTGCCAAGGCTTCGTTCTATGGAGTAGCAACTCGAAGCATGCTGCGAAGACTCATTCTGAAGATTTTAGTGGAGAAACCGCCGGAACGCTATGCGACCATATCCTCTAGTGTATTCAGTCCGTGAACGGACTTTAGAGCCTTCTGTCTCTTTTTGGAAGCCAGACTGTATTTAAGGCCGAAATGCCCAGTGCCTAACTTAAACCTGTCCAAATTTGACGGGCACCTGGACCTGCAAAATATTGTGTGAGCCACGCGGATGGCCACGGTGACTAAAACTGGGGAAACCGTTAATTTATATGCATAATACTTTGCCATCCTCAGTACTGTACCGAATACGCACCAGTTTTCGCTTGGGTTTCCGCTGTTATACCAGGCGACGCCAAACCTGGATTCGTCTGGTTGAGCACTATCAGCTAATACGGCACTTCTATGGAGGCCCCACACAAGACATTATCCAGACAAGCGAAAAGAAACTGTCACTACAACACAAGGACTAATGAAGAATTGACAGGGGGCGACGAAACGCCGCTTCAGTGCTCCAAGTGGCTATTGGTGGATATAACTTGCCGGAACTGCAACGTGATGCTTGCGTTCCTTGTTCGCCCCGGCAAATAAATCGGATTGCAAAACAAATCCGCCGAACAAGCATGCAATTCC